GCCTGACCAGTGCCGCATAGAGGGGGAGGATCACCTCCTTGGACCTGCTCGAGATGCATCTGTGGATGCACGACAAGGTGCAGTTGGCCTTCCTAGCCGCCTCCCCACATTGCCGACTCATGTTCATCCTGGAGTCAATAATGACTCCCAGATCCTTTTCCACCTCCGTGCTGACAAGAGGGGAGTTCCCCAGCCTGTATGTATGGTGCCTGTTGTTCCTCCCCAGGTGCATCACCTTACACTTGTCCGTGTTAAACCCCATCCTGTTCTCCTCCGCCCATCCTTGTAACCTGTCTAGGTCCCTGCTGGCCCCACTCCCTGTCATTCTGGACAGGCAATTTACTAGTATTTGTATATATACGTGTGTGTGTGTGTATGGGCATGTATGTGTATTGTATATTATATTTAAGGGACTGCCGCTGACGACATATATACATGCCTAGACATACATGTATGTATACACACATGCATGTATATATTTATATATGTGTGTGTATGCGTGAACACACCCACACGCGCGCACACTTATGTGTACACACGCGCCATTTCTATAAATACCCACTGCACACCACGTGTACCCGACAGGTCAATCCCTGCGCATACCCGCCTCCCGCACCAGTGCGCTGGAGCCGGCCCCGCCCCCTGCGCTCCGCCCCTGGGGCCGGGCTTGTCCGCAGCCCCCAACTCCAATGGTCTGCCCCTGCCCCTGCGCAGCTGGACAGTTCTACACTATCCCTTCCTCCCAGCACCAAATGGTTCCTCCCGGGGGAGCGCCCAGCCCGGGCGCCACAGCGCTTACTTCCGGGTTCCGGCGTGAGGGGGGGCGGGCACTACGGCTGCCCCTCCCCCCGCCGGGGCCGGCGCTATGCGCAGACTCGGCTCCTGGATCAAGATGGCGGCGGCGGATAAACAGAAGCACGAGCACGGGCGGGTGAAGATCGGCCACTATATCCTGGGTGACACGCTGGGCGTTGGCACCTTCGGCAAGGTCAAGGGTGAGGCCCGGGCCGCTCCTGGGGGGCGGGAGAGCACGACCCCCACCCCTCCCTCCCGCCCCCCGGGTGGGGGCTGGGCTGGGCCTTTGCGGGGGGCCCGGCGCTCACTGCGGCCTGGGGCCCCGGGGAGGCTGCGAGAGCGAAGCATGTGGCGGGGGCCGGGTCCCGGCACCAGGGGCGCATTTGGAAGCGGTGCGCAGGGGGAGCTCAGGGCTGTGGGCTACGAGGCGCTGAGTGTCAGGGACAGTTGCTGGCGTTGGGTTGATCTTTGCCCTGGGCAAGGCGGACGTGGGTACGGGCTTCCCACTTCAGGTTATAGCGGACAAAAGTAATACAAGAAGAGCCGCTGGGGTCTTTGGGTAGGTGTGATATCTTTTAATAAACCAACTAAATAGCTGGGGAAAAGTTTTCTGCAAGCTTTGGGGCACAAGCCCCTTCTTCAGGCAGTGAGGAGCTGAAGTGGCAGAGCACACAGGCTGTGGAGCAGTCCCTGGCATGTTGCAAACATTTGCAGGAACCAAATGTTGAACCTAATCGTTTGTCAGTGGGTGGTTCCTCCTGTTTTATGGCAGGAAATAACTGTTCTCCAGAGGCAAAATGGCTTGATTTCATTTTCCTGAAATCTAAAGAAAGCCTACTTGCTGAAGCCTGGCATTGCACATGCAGTTGCCAGTGACCGTGCTGCACTTGCATTAACATTTTTGTGAGTTACTACATGCAAAGACTATGTTCATTAAATGTGGTATTTTCCTTGCGTATTTTGAGGTTCCTTGCCAGTTAGATGAGATGCTCAAAAGGCTTTTTTCATTTCATAGTTTTGTTTGCACCAGCACTGATACTTGGCATCCATCCAAGATGGGTAGGTTTTTTTACTCTAAGTGGGAAAAATAGGGGTGGGAAAGTTTTGAAGTTCTTAAGATCATGCTGCGAGTTAGTGGCAGTCATACTCTGCCTCAAATAAGGCTCTAGATTGTAAATCTGCTAGACAGGTCTGTGGTATG